CAGCATATTCCACCCGTCACACTTGCAGAAAGGGGTACTACGCCAGTAACCCTTGCAGTAACCCTTACGAATAACCCCCCCCGGCCTGCTAGGTATGTACCTACCTACTTGCCTACCTAATATTATGTTAACTGATGTAGATTAAAGGTATGATCTTATTGCTGAGGCGCTGTGTACAGAGTACATGTAAGTACATATGTAGCGGGTGGTCTCTGCGGCGGAGTGGGGCGCGGCACCTGTAGTTCCTGTTCGGCCTCTGGCAGAATCTGGCTGGCTCTGGCTGGCTCTGGCTGGCGTGGGCTGGCAGCTTCCGTCGCCGGCACAGTGGCACCCCACCCTTCTGCGCGCCTTGGGGTTTTCATGCAATCAGGCGCTGTGACTCATGTCTCGCTTGTCCTCGACAGCAGTCTTTTCCCTTCCACAATCAATGTTGGTCTTGGGGCGCTATTCGAGACCGATATTGCCAGTGAGAAGACTACGCCTACATCACCGCTTGAGAATGGCCGCCGCACCGGCATCAACCTCCGCCTCCGCCCCTGCCCCGGCACCGCAGAAGCCCGGCAAGGGCGCCGCTGCCAAAGCCCCGCCATCCTCGTCCACCCTCGATCCCTTCTCCGACCCCACGACCCCTGGTGAGAAGAAGGTCCTGCAATCCTTCGAACACGCCCACTTCAGCGCCTACAGTCCCAGCGCCGTCGAGTCGTCATGGTACCAGTGGTGGGAGAAGTCTGGCTTCTTCAAGCCCCAGTCTCAGCCGAACGCTGCCCCCGCCGACTCGTCTAACTCCTTCGTCATACCCTTGCCCCCTCCGAACGTCACCGGTGATCTGCACTGCGGCCATGCCCTTGCCAACACAATACAGGACACTCTGGTCCGGTGGAATCGAATGCGTGGCGTTCCCACTCTATGGGTTCCCGGCTGTGACCATGCCGGTATCAGTACACAGTCTGTCGTCGAGAAGATGCTCTGGAAAAAGGAGAAGAAGACCCGTATCGAGCTTGGCCGCGAAGCCTTTACCAAGCTGGTGTGGGACTGGAAAGATGCATACCATCAGCGTATCAACAACGCCCAGCGACTGATGGGCGGCTCCATGGACTGGTCACGCGAAGCCTTTACCATGGATGAGAACTGCACTCGTGCTACCATGCAGGCTTTCTGCACTCTACATGATGAAGGTCTTATTTATCGATCGGATCGTCTAGTCAACTGGTGTACGAACCTACAAACCGCCCTGAGCTCGCTCGAGGTCGACAACAAGGAGATTCCTGGCCGTACCCTGCTCGACGTGCCAGGCTATGAAAGAAAGGTTGCCTTCGGCGAGATGACCTATTTCAAATATCCCATCGATGGCACCGATCTCTTCGTTGAAGTTGCCACGACTAGACCTGAAACCATGCTAGGTGATACTGGTATTGCTGTTCATCCCGACGATAAACGTTATTCTCATCTTGTCGGCAAATATGCGCGCCATCCCTTCACCGACCGCCTCCTCAAAATCGTTGCGGACGAATATGTCGACCCAGAACTTGGAACTGGTGCCGTAAAACTTACCCCTGCGCATGATTACAATGATTACCAGCTGGGAAAACGCCATGGGTTGGACTTCATCAACATCTTGAATGGGGACGGTACAATGAATGAAAACGTTGGTCCCACTTTCCAGGGCCAAAAAAGATTCGATGTCCGGTATCAAATCGTTGAAGAATTAACTAAGCTAGGCCTCTTTGTGAAGAAAGAGTCGCACGCAATGACGATACCATTGTGTGAAAAGACTCGCGATGTCATAGAGCCTCTAATGAAAAAACAGTGGTGGGTTAAGATGGCGGATATGGCAGCCGAAGGCTTGAAGGTAGTAGAAGAGGGGAAGATCAAAATATTGCCTGAAAGTGCTGAGAAATCATATAAGCGATGGCTTTCGGGCATTAATGATTGGTGTATCTCGCGCCAGCTTTGGTGGGGTCATCGAATTCCTGCGTATCGTGTTGTACTTGAAGGCCAAGACGCATCCGTCGAGGATGATGAGGCTCACTGGATCGTGGGACGAACACCAGACGAGGCCCAAGCCAAAGCGGCATCTGCATTTCCCGGGAAGCAATTCACTCTGGAGCAAGATCCTGACTGTCTCGACACCTGGGTTAGTTCAGGACTATGGCCAATGGCTATTCTTGGATGGCCGGCAAAAACTCCTGATCTCGAACAATTTTTCCCCAATAGCTTGCTCGAGACGGGCTGGGATATTTGTAAGTTTTATCACTTGCGAAAAGATCACTATAAAAAGATCAATATTCTTGTTGTTACAAACCTGGCCAAGTTCTCTGGATAATAGCAGACTAACTGGTGGTACAGTGTTCTTTTGGGTTGCACGTATGATCATGCTGAGTTTGAAGCTCACGGGTGAGGTACCTTTCAGAGAGGTCTACTGCCACAGCTTGGTCCGCGATATCGAAGGCAGAAAGATGAGCAAGTCGCTCGGTAATGTCATCGATCCTCTAGATATCATCAATGGAATTGATCTCAATGCTCTCCATGCGAAACTCCTCGTCGGGAATCTCAAGGAGACTGAGATTGCCAGAGCCACCAAATACCAAAAGACGGCCTTCCCCGGTGGGATTCCCGAATGTGGTGCCGACGCTTTGAGATTTACTCTTCTCTCATATACTACTGGCGGCGGTGATATTAACTTCGATATCAAGGTTATGGCAGCTTACCGACGCTTCTGTAATAAGATATGGCAGGCAAGCAAATACGTTATGGGTCGCCTACCCGAAAACTTCAAGCCTGTTGCCAATCTTGATGTTGTCAGCCTTTCAACACCAGAAAAGTGGATTCTCCATTGCATGAACTCCGCTGTTAGAGACCTCAATGCGGCTTTAGCAGCCAGAGAATTCTCAAAGTCAACTCAAATTGCTCACAAATTCTTCTACGATGAGTTGTGCGACGTCTTCATCGAGCACAGTAAGAGTCTGTTGACCTCAGGGACCGCGAGTGAGCAGGACAGCGTGCAGCAAACTCTCCATCGGGCCTTAGATGTCGCGCTCAGACTTCTTCACCCGTTCATGCCTTTTATTACTGAAGAACTTTGGCAACGTCTGCCGCGGGCACCATATGAGAACGCAGCCTCTGTACCAGAGTCTATCATGGTGGCGCCGTTCCCAACATCCGATGACAGCCTTTACTTTCCTGCCGAAGCTGAGTCCTACGAGCTCAGTTTGCAATGCACACGGGCCATACGATCACTAGCTGCTGAGTATAACGTCAAGACTGGTGGTGTTGCCTTTGTGAAAGCTGTCGATGCCACCTCAAATGCTAGCATCGCACCTCAGATGACTTCTATCAAGACACTCTGCGGCAAAGTCCTCTCTGACCTATCGCTTCTTGGTCCCGAAGATGCTGTGCCTACCGGCTGTGCCGTGTTCGTTCTGACGAACAGTATCCATCTCTTCCTCCAAGTTGCCGACGCCATCTCGGATGTAGATGCTGCCATCAAAAAGGTACAGGTCAAACTGCAGAAGAAACAGGTTGTCGTCAAGAAACAGAAGGAGTTGATTGCCCGTGACGGGTTTGACAAGAGCAGCGAGGTTGTTCAGACCGCTGAAAAATCTAAGCTGGAGGAGGCAAATACTGCCGTCAATAACTACGAGAGGACGATCGAGGAATTCGAGAAATTGAAGCTGAAGGCTTGATTTAGATAGACCGCGAGTTCTATTCTTCTTAATCTCCTGTAATCTGGGAGAGTCTAGAGTTTAGAGTTTCTCAATTGGCTCGAGTTGATAAAATAAAAAAGCAGGCTTCTTACATGAATTATCGCGTTCCATATTGTTGTCTTTGTAAACCTAATTGCCGATGCCGAACCTGACAAAATACTTGCCCACTTTCCTAGCGTCGGCAGTCATTCCAGAACAATACGAGAAACAAGAGTAAGCAACAACTTCACTACAGAATCACAGAATCACAGTAGTAGTATATTGTAAAGCATTTGTGATAAGTTCTACATATGTCGTAAAACTTGTAACGTATTTCGGACTCTAAAGGACAAAGATTTCATAAGCTGCAATCCGCGTATTATTTATTATACAAGGGGAGTCTTCCTGCCGGCTGCCATGACAACAGCTTTTTCTCCTTAACACTTCTTATGACACCTGTTTCTCATCTAGAATTCCTTTCGCCATCCCCGAGTGCCAATACCAGTCAAAAACGCCGCGCATGAACGCACCTCCAGACGCCATTGCATCCTACACATACAAGTGATGCCATGACAAGGATAATAACCGCCGAAAAGAGGAAGGAAATAAAAATAGAAAGTAATTAGAGACTATAGATATGGCATCCAGAGAGCATCGCACTGAGCCAAATTCATCGGGTTCACGGCTCTAGCTATGAGGTCGATGACTGTCTGATTAGCTGGAAGACTTCCAACGGGAGGCTGCGCCAAGCTGAGCGCACGTTTGACAACCATATCACAATTGGTCTGGACAGTCTCGCGCAACTGGGTTTCATTGAGGTGGATGGCACGATGGCTGCTGGTAAACCAAAAGATGACCTCATCCCGCACAAGCAGCGTCAACGCATGTTCGAGTTCAAACTCTGGCTCAGTGAGACAACGAGCAATCGCCATGATCGAGCAGCTGAAGATGCCTTCAGTAGCCAACGGACCCATCAGGGTTTGAAGGTTAGGAGAGAGACGGAACGGGACAGGTTCAGGGTTGTGGAAGAAAGGTTTGCCGACCGCCATGCACGACATGAGCTCGGAGCCCCAGATCTTCCCGGAGCCCCGTGCAATGTTCATTTTGGACGGATAGCGTATCGTCATGTAAAGGATGTACGTCATGAAAGTGAGTGCGGATAACTGATACGAGAATCGCCGGCGGAACAGCCAAAAGTCTGAGTACTCTGGGTAGATGGACTGGAAATACTCTAGCGCGACGGTGTGAGGCACCCACTTCTCTTGAATTGCAGTGAAAACTTCAAGACGAGCTGTCGTGGATTGATCAGGCTGCTTCTGAACATAAGGGTTAACTAGTGAACGTGGGGGTGGTTATGAAGGGAAACTTACAGATCCCTTAGGCTCATTGAGCCCCCTCAACTTTTCCATCGTAAACATTACCGGTTCGTCTTTCAGCATGCCATTACGGCGGCAATGGTCTTCATAGACACCTTGCAAAGTGATGTATGAAGTGTCTTCTTGCACAATCCTGATATGAGGCGCTAGTGGAATCATTAGGGGGACCGTGAATTGCAGGTCACGCCGACGACTCTCCTTTTTCTTAGCTAGAGTTTGGTTCAAGTGTCGGAAGAGCTGCAGTATTCTTTCTTCACGGCGGCAGTGCCGAGCAGCAGGATGCTGTATAGCGAAAGGATGTATACTTCCATCATGACCACGGATTTTCAGTCGACGATGGGACCCGCCTATGACCCTTACAAGGTCTACATTGGGTAGAAATCGATCGATGCGGATGAAGTCTTGATTCTTGTCCTTATGCTGTAAGTACTGTCCTGGAACTTCGACATCATCAAATTTGAGATAGCGGAATTCACTGAGGTGTCGGGAGAAGGTCTCCAAGTAAGTAGTTGGATTCCTGAGATCGAGCTTCGCCTCAAACTTATCACGCCATTTTCGCAGTTTATGGATGTACTCATACATTGTGGGTTTGACTGTCACGAAATCTGCTTCAAATGACTTCTTGATGTGGGCTGGGAGAATCGTCTCGGCAAATCGTGTGATATTAGTTTCCGTCGCAGATGGCAGTTTGACATCTTTCGCGTAGGAAGCGGGCATACGGCTAACATAAGCCAGACCATCATTGAGAAGGGCGACTATGAGTCGGTATGCGTCCTCATCGGGCGGACATTTGAAATACTTTTGTATCTGATCAACCATAGTTTCCATTGAGAGGGCGAGAAGTGGGAAGGCTGTCTTAAGAACTGACATAATCTCCTCAGTTAGCTCCCAAGGCGGCTTCTTTTGACCAGCCCCATCTTTGGCCTGTTGTGCTTGCTGGTCGCCAGTAGGCGCTGGCGGCGCACTGTTATTGCTAGGTGCATTGGCTTCAGCCTGCTCTGTCTTGGGCTGCACACTACCATCACCACCTGATGTTTGTGGCCGGGATGATGATTCTGATTTGGGTTGAGGAACTTCCTGTTTGGTCTGGGATGGGGAGCTGCCAGGCTTTTTATTCGCCGCCGCCGATTGAGCGCGTTGCCGCGCTTTCTCCTTGGCCTCCTGGCTTTTCTTGATCATTATCATATCTTCCCGGTTGGTCCGCAGTTGGAAGTACAGAGACTGAGGGTAGGCTTTGGCGATCTTCAACAGTATCCCGTGGACTTTTGGTGACTCCTTGTGGCCTAGGCCGGTCAATAACTGTGGAATGAAAGTAATCCAATACCAGACGGGCGTTTCTCCCTTATGATCGTCAAAACCCGACGCTATTGTGCCATTAGAATCGTCCAAGCTCAGCAGCCACATAATACGTGCGATTAGCTTCCTAGCTTTGCTGCTTTTGTAACTGCCAATAGCCTGAAGATACGAGCACACAGCTTGCCGGGCAGAAACAGTGTCTGAGGGATCTGCCTTAAACTTCCGATCGTTGAAGTAGCCCCATTCAGCCCAAGCCTTGGCTTTGCTAATGTCGTAATACAATGCAGTCCCATATGCGCCATCAGCGTCAGTGTGTTGCCCAAGCTTCTCGAGAAACATGCCCTTGAGAGTATAGAATTCAGCCTTCTGCTGGTTATTGAAGTAATTCAAGTTGGTGTTATTGATCACATCAAGACCGCTTGAGAGCTCGTCGGGGTTTTCATAATGACACCTCGCCTGTTCCCGCAGCTTGAGGAATGCTTCTTGAATTTCAATATTAGGAAGAGTATAAATGCGACTGAGCTGGTTTATACAGACTTCAGCAAGGTTGTGTTTTCGAGCAACATGCGCAAACCTATTGATTATCCACGCTGTCTCGTGGTAGCCGCGGTATGCGAACGAGGCTCCGTTGGCATTCTGACCCTGCGCGGGCAATAACTGTAGATAAGTGTTGTTGATTAGGCCAAAAATGTGCTGCCGCCAAGTGACCAGATCCTGCCAGTCAGTAATGTCATCCCAAGTGTTCGGCAGACGGTCCCGCCAGGCCCCCAGCAGAAGTTTTAGTTCACCAGACTTTACGTCAAGATTGCTCTGGTTGGTATTTGCGAGACTTTGACAGATGAGACTAGCATCGTGAAGTTCCACGAGCTGCTGGAAATTATGTAACATCGGAATATGTGCAGCGGTTAGGCGCTTGGGAAGTTGATGCCACTTCCGAATTGCTAGCTGAATCGCTTCGTCACAGACACGATTGAAGTCTTGGCCTGTCTCTTGCTTGTTGTGGAACTTGAGCAGAGACATGAAACCTTGGAAGAATGTCCGACGAGAGGTGGGGGCGTCCATAACGCCTTTGATAAGCATATCCAAGCTTTCACGGTGTTCCTGGTTTTGCCACATCTCAATGTTTCTCCAAGCACATTCGAGGAGAAGATCTTGCAAATTTTCATGCTTGGCAAAGTCCTGCAAAATCTCCCATTGTTGGAGTTTTTGTGCACACAAGACCCAGTGATCCTCCCAGAGCATATATTCGCCTTGCGAAAATGGGATCACACCTGTGCGAGCTTTGATTTGGGCGGCTTCATACATTTTCTGAGCCTTGTCCCACATTCCGTTCTGTTCATAAGACAATGCGGCATTGGTCTCTACGAATTGGCATCGTCTGCGCCATGTCCCGTAGAACAAGTCATCTTCTTTGAGATTAGAGTACAACTCAACAAGAGCATCAAGGGTGCTTTCCCTGACAGTAGTAGAGTCGATCTCCGGCTTGATGGCCGACTTTTCCAGCTGAACCATGGCGGTATACCAAGCATCATAGGTTTTGGCTCCAAATTTGAGAATGTGCGGAGGGATTTTGCATTCCGGCCATGATTTGGCCGCACCCGTCAACAGGGTCTGAACAACATTTGGACGCCTGTCCATCTGACGAGAATGATAGTCTTTAGAAATCAATACGACTAGGCCTTTCTCGATATCGCTCTTGTCCTCACGCACAGTGGTAGCCCAGAACATTGGGAACAAGGCAACCCACAATTCATGGCCCAAATTGCTATCAACATGCTGGAGCTGTGAGATTGGTTCTATAATATCTCGTAATTTGACTTCACCAAGCTCGGAAACAAATCTTCGATGGTTGGCCATGAATGTTTCATACTTATCATCCATCATGGTTCGGGGCTCACGAGTATCTTTAGCATAAATACCAAACACCAGCGAAGCGGGCAGTGTTCGGAAATCCTCGTGGTGGAGCTGAATATTGGCATTCATCTCGACGGCTCCAAGAAGGAGCTGATTCGCTTGGGCTAGCCAGAAAGAGTCTGCCAAGGTGTCCCAGTTTTGTGAAGTGATCACATATGATAGACGAGCTGTTGCAGTTTTTGATAGACTTTTATCGAAAATAGACATAAATCGATTGCGCATCTCAACATCTTGGGCACGTGTTCCTATCAGGAATGCATGCTCCATGCGCACTGTAAGCTCCGTCCGCGCGACTTTAGGGTCCTCGTAGATCCTGATCACTAGGTCAAGGAATTTAGCTAACATGGCGGGATCACTTCGGTGTTCGAATGAGAGCATCTTATGAAGTACGGCCGTTTTCTCTTTCAGTGTAGGCCAGGTGCCCTCAGCTCGGAATACCCATCCTTCAACCATTTCGAGAATCTTTTCGCAGAGGGCGTTGTCTTGTGACTTTTCGACGAGTGTGGCTAAAACACTGAGGAACGGCCTGCGATTATCAGCTAGGCTTTCCATACGCATCGCCGTGACCTCAATTGCCCTGATCATGAGATCCGTTTGGACCTTGAGTTCGTAAGAAGTCAGCTCTCCATTCTGCGAGCTGTGCTCTTGAGACCGAATTGCATTCGGGGGTGTCTGGTGTGATGAGACAGAAGTCCAATGCTGGACATGGTCTCTAGCGAGTTTTGTCTGTAAGGCTTTCATTAATGCCGGTATATGCTGGTCAATCATAGTTGGTTTACGACGCCCTAATGACCATAGGATATTCACGCCGGCACCATACTGAGAATTGGCCATCGTTTCCGTCGCAAAAGCAGACAAGAAGGTGATGATTTCAGATGTAGGTGCCTCGGATTCGCCTTCCGCATCAGCGTCTTCCATGGGAACATCCTCCGGTACAGCATCTAATATTCGCTGTACTATAGACTTGATATCGCGTCCACCATCATATTCTTTGTCAGCGAAATGCAGACAGTCCTGAATTTCAGGATTCTCCGACTTTAAGCATTTCTCAAGAACTTTCTGAATGGAGGGCATACTTCTCAAAATCCATTCGTCTGTCTTGGAACAGAGAATAATGCGTACCACTTGCAACGTGTTTATAATATTCGTGATAAACTTCTCATCATAGTTGTCCTTATCATTAGGATCGGCATTCAGAATCTTGGCTGTCCTTTCACTTGCCAAAACCACCTCCGTGATGGTAGGGAATAAATCAACGTCCAGCTCTCCCCAACACTGAGGTTGAAGTAGGTTGTAGAGCAGCGACATAGCCTTCATACAAAGTTCTGTAGACTGTGAAGATAGAATATATCCGGGCGCGGCAAGATCTCTCGGCTTTGCAGAAGGAAGCTTATACCTCTCATTCAGTTGAGCAATGAACTCAATCAGATATTTGATCATTTTGAGCCGAAAGCCTTCCGGAATTTGAAACTCAGCTCTCTCCACAGGAGCAGTTTGTCGAGCTGTCGGAGGGGACGATATGGACAAATCGCTATCCAATTTTCGTTTCTTGGAGTTTGGGGATTCTGAAAAGGCTCTGGGGACTGCGTCAGATTTTCCTCCAATTCGTTTTTGTTCCCATTCCCAGATCAGCCACATCATATTTAAAGCAAGCTTTTTGCTCTCGTTGGAAGACGATTGTAGTGAAGAAACCTTTCGAAGTGAGGTGATTATCAGAAGAGCAAATTTGTCTCTAGACTCGTAGAAAAGATCTGGATGTCTGACGAGAAAGTGAAAGATGTTGGTCATTTGCTGAGCATTCTGACCTTCTTCAGCCAGGATGCGTCGCGGCGCCATGGCCCATACGGCATTGCGATCTCCAGGAACTGAGTTGCATCGTTTGGGAAGTACAGGGGCCATGAGCTCTAGCGCTTGAGTAACGAGAGCACGGCCTTCATTCTGATTCGTTCTCAGCAAAGAGTAGTAGACTTGGGTCACTATTTTAGGCGGAGTCTCATAGTGTGCAATGAAATATCCTATGACCACATAGGCGGCATGCTTGTTTATGACGTCGTCCAGCCGAATATATGTCCAGCCGAATTTTATAATATCCTTCCTGGCGTCCTGGAGTATGGCGTAATGGTATTTGACGAGCATGGCTGATAACTGTAAGACTTCCATCCTTGTATGGTCGATTCCTGGTAGGGCAAGATCCTCTTGAGGGTCTCCGAGGTTGACTTTCCAGATTTTCATGTTAATAGACTCTATTATCGATCTATCCATGAGCCTCTGAGGGCGAGGCGGGCTCGAAGGATTCCAATTTCGCATGACATCCATAGCCACGATTGGATTCACAATGTTGCGGAGGAGAAAACATTTTGTCTTCTGACTTACATTCTTGCCCGCATATATGTCGAGACAGCGCATAATGATTGACTTCCAGAATTCAATTGAATCACTGCATATTACATGGTTGTAAAGATATGCAGAGACGGACGGAGCCGCCCGTAACTCTTCTGCAGTGATGGACTCGATCAAACTGAACAGAGGATCGAGGTCTCTAGGCCTCAACGATAGTGCCTTCGTGAAGATATTCATCAACTGTTCCGAAGCTTGGTCAGCGGGTAAACGAAGACTTGGAGGGAGATCGTTTGCGCAAAGGTGACGCTCCAGGTCTTTCCCGATCAGCTTCAAAAGGTTGATTGTATCTTTTTGCTCCATCCAGCCTTGCGTGTCTTCGAATTGACTCAGTGAGTTGAGAATATTGATTGTATTAATGGCTGCCACATATTTACTATCCCTAGGGCCATTCCATATCTGATTACAAGCAGATATCAGAGGCTCGAGATTAGCAGTAGCATGATCGCGAAGTGGCTTGCTATCCGGGTGCGACAGTACTTGGGCAAGGAATCGGCCGTACTTGAAATCCTCTATCTTCCCACTTAGAAAGTCCCAGACTTCAGTGGGATAGCGGTTCAGAAACTTGTACAATGGAGGGCGAAAAGGGCTGTGGTGAGTGCGTCGTAGCTTTTCTTCCAGCTCAAGACACGTGTCAATGAGTCGCTCCTTGAACTGCTCAGCGGCCGGGGGTAATAAGTGAAAGATATTGAAAACTGCAGCAATGACCTTCATCGGGGTGTTCTGCTCGAAGAAAGTGAACGAGATCTGCTGCAGAAAATTGGGTTCTGCAAGGACCTTGATATGCTCCAACAGCCTGGCGCCGATTTCTACTTTGAAATATGTCGTCAACAACCGTAAGAGCCTTGCCAGGTTGTCTAATCCATGAGTACTTAGTCTTTTCGGATCTTGTAAGTTAGCCAAGACAGGCCGAAGACCTTGTTGAAGTAGATCTTTAGGCAGTTTATTAGTCTGTAATAGAACCGCTTTGATAGCATCATTAGCAGCTTCAATGGTGGGTTTCGACTCTGAGTAAAGACATTTGAAAAACACCGATACTACTCTCGTCCTAGTGGGATTGTTCTGGCCTTTCTGGAAGTCCTCAAACCCCATTGCCTTGCTCAGAATCTTGATACAAGCTACCCGGAGGTTTACAATTGATTCATGTGTCCGGAACTCAGCCGGCTTACCAGCCAAAGACTCATCATTAGCATCAGCAAGTGCTAGGGATTCCATCAATAAGCGGTTAAGATGTTCGTCAAAGGACACGAAATTGCTCTTGAGACTCATATAGTATGCAATAGCATCGATATAGCCTATCTGAGTCGCAAAGGGCAAGGCTCGCAGTGGTTTAGCATATATTGGCGACAATAGGCGATCCTTATGGGGCTCTACCAACTCCCAAATTTCCGACTTGGTCGCAGATGCGATAATTTCAAGCGAGCTCCGAGCTGTGCCTCGAACATGCTTATTCATGTGCGAGAGCTCGTCATTGAAGAACATGCAAAGCTGTGCTAATCGGATTGTTCGAGGTGCAGGCTGAGAAGGTTGAGGGGGTTGAGGTGGTTGAGCAGGCAATGCGTCTTCCTTTTTAGCGTTCTTGGTGATTCGACGTAGGAGAACTTCGAGGGTGACTTGCGCGGAACTTCGGGTTTTCTCTGGTAAATCCTGCGGCATATCTTTAATGACGTACATGAGTGCCCTGATAAGCTCCAAATGCTTCGCCAAAAGCCAGGACTCCCCGAGTTCGACTTGGTCTAAAAGATATTTGATACCAAGTGTACCGCCGGCCTTGGTATACCACTCTTCTTCAAAACACGCATGGCAGAAGGTTTTGCTGAGGTGATAGAAAAAGGGCAAACGTCCAATATGGTTTTGGCTTCCAATGATCGTCACAGTGGAGTCATAGACTGCCCGTATAGCTCGAAATGCGGCGTCTCGAACCTCTGGAAGTTCAGAAGCTAGTGATTCGACAATAGCGTCTGCGAGAACGCGAGCATCAATGAAAAGAGGGCCCTCGCCAGCTTCGGGATTGAATGGACTGTGATCTTTCTTGAAATCGATCAGAGCACGACCAATTTCCAGAATTGTAAAATGCCGACAGATATTCATCAAAAATACATCTGCCTCTTCGCGGAATTCGGGAAGGGATTCAGCAAACATAATGGCTTTGATGAGTCGTTTCATTATGATATCTTCCTCATTTTTCTTCACAACAGAACGATCCTTGATCGACGTCTCGAAGATAGCAAAATCAGCGGTTGGTGGCGTTTTAGCATAAAGGTCTTGCATCTGAAGACGGACAAGCCGTGGGAGGTCTTCAGGTAGATGGTCTACGCCAATACGCAACTTGATCTGAGCCTTGATAAGTTGAAGTGCTTGCTTCTTGTAAAAACCATCCTGTTTCACAGTGTTCAATTTGGATGGCTTCGGCATTTCCGTAAGCTTGTGAATCGCGAAATCGATGCCAAGTCCAGCTGAGAAAGCTCTGTCCTTTTTAGACCCAATGAGTCGCATGTCGAAGCTCGACGGATCGTCAGCATATCGCTGATAATTTACCGGAAGAGCCTCCGTCATGAATTTTCTATTTCGACCTCCCAGCTTGCCGAGGATCCTCATTGTTGTGTGGGCGTGAAAATGGCTGTACGGGTGCGGTTTCAAGTGTTCGAACAGCGCATTCATTAGATCTTCAATGACAGGTGCCATTATAGGGTCTAGATAGTCTGCCGTAAGGTTATCAACACATAGTTCTAGAGTTCGTAGCCCTTGACCAACTAAATCAGTTCCAGCCCTAAGAGCAACAACTAAGGGTCGCATTAAGAAGCTGAGGTGAGGCAGCAGGTTGCTTAAACGGGCAGGAACTGTAAGGCAGAGTTCAACATAGAGATCCCGCTCTGCCTGCTTGCGAGCAGCCATGAGCAAATTGTTAAGAACATCGAGCAGCATTTCGAGTAAAGGCAGGATCTGCTTGTAAAGATGCTCAAATTTTCCACCCCCAATACTTCTAAAAAGTGAGCGGAGTAGCAGAAAGTAATTCATGGGCTCTTCCGCCTTTGTTGACAACTCAATTGACTTCGTCACGATATCAACAACGTGGGGCAGAAGCACTTGCTCGTTCTGTGTAGCAAAGAGTGTAACCGCCATGAACGCTAGCTTGAAGAGGCGTAGCAAGATTGAGGATTTCTTGACATCCGCAGATCCCACATCATCGATTCTACCCATGAGGAATTTTAACAACATTCCGCAAAAACTTGGGGACGTTGCCTCACTGGCAAGGAAGAATTGAGGAATATGCAGGAGAGCTGTATGCTCAAAGATCATCTCATAAAGATGAGGTATCTCTTGTTGAAACACTTCGTGGAATGTCGCAGGGTCAATGCAGTGAAAAACGGTGGCGAATGTCTCTAGAAGGTCTTTCTCTTCTTTGCTAGACGATACCATATAGAAGTTAGCCATATACTCAACTGCAGAGGCATACTGGGTCTCTGCAGTTGGCTTCTCAATTTCGTAGTATCGAAAAACATAAGCGCCCTCGCGAAGAAGCTTGACAATAACCTTCACTTCCTCGGCAGTAAAGCCATATGAGACATCTTGCCAGTGCGCAGGGGCATTGTGCGAGTCAACTATTACAGAGGTATTGCAGGCTTTGAGCTGATAGAAGGTATTCTTAAGCCCATTCATCAAATTCTTGAATAAGAACTTATTATCTGCCACAGGGTCCGCATTTCTCTCACGGGGATTCGACGTCTTGATCGGCATTGCAGTAAAAATATCAATCTCATCCCACTCAGGGCGTTCGCCGTCTGCCAAGTACGTTTCAGGCGTAGGGTCCGCAGCCTGCTGTGCATAAAGCTTAGATAGCTTGACAGCATTTGGATACTGCCTGTTCATCGCAGCAAACTTATCTCCAATTGCGTTGAGAATCATCAAGAGATAATGTCGAGCATCAACTTTATTCGGAAGCTTAGCAATACATTCAGCCATGTTCAGTAAGAGCTTGGCACTCATAGTCTGGAAGCTTGTGCCTGGAAAATTGTCTTGCAAATTTTTAGTATACACTTCAACAGTCTTCCGTATATGGTCCGGTGTAAGCGAGTCGCGGACGTGGTGAATCAAGTCAGCTAACATGCTGTATGCCAACGGTCGCATGGTATCATATACAGTCAATCCATCGCCGATTAAAGTCTTTTCTTCAAGTAGCTCATCAATCTTTGGTAAGAATATCTTACGAAAGTTGAAGTTGATGATATGGCGAATTGCAACCAACAGCTCTTTACGCGCTGCGGATTTCTCTCTTGGGCAGTCCTTGAGCAAACGCACAACTATTTCCGGCAGTGTTGGTAAGAAATCCGCCAGCTGGCTGGAGTATTGGCGAAGTAAGTATGCCAAGAAACTCATTGTCTTGACTTGAGCTGTTATAAACTCGCCAAAAGCGGCGCGGTTCCTTATGCTCGGACTGACTCCAGTGAAAAAAGTTTTCCTCGCTTTGGCCTCGGCATGAGCCTGTTCCTGCGCTTTGGCTTGAAGACACAGTACTGATTTAATCAAGGGTACAAATGCCTTCACGTTTTGCTGAATGATGCTACGGTAAGTCTGGAAAACCGAGACGACAATGATCGGGCACTCTGATAAGACCTTGAAGGACTGCATTCCTTTCAACAAGGGACGGCTCTGCTGTTGTAAATCTTGCCCAAGTTCCGTCACGGACGCAACTGGAGACCCAGGCCGAGGCGACTGGAAGTTGGTCTGTGTGCTTCCCGGCGTCGAGGGTGGTCCTGTCGCGTTGATCGGGAGAGCGGTATTGTCTAGCTGTTCACGCACGACCTTTTCCATTTGCTCAAAAAGCTCTTGGATTAAGGTGAGGAATGGCTGGACTCTGTCGTGCAGAACTTTCGGCTGGTGCCGCATGACATCGGAGATGATCTTAACACATAGCGTAGCATTTTCCTCGTTGTCATTGCGCACCAGGATCATCAAGAGATCAACTACTTCCTTGGCGTATTGCTCAAAGGGCTCTGTGGGCGTCTGTTGGGTGGGCAGGCGATGAAGGATCTCGAGAATGCAATGTCGTAGTTTCTGGGTTAACATTAGTACGTGGTGGACCAGACACTGCAAAGGCCGACTTACCTGTTCCAACGATGTGTTCTGGAAAATGCAAGGTCCTCGTAGGATATTGATGATCAAGGGCATGATCCGAGACAGAAAATGGGAGTAGATAGGTCCATTGGTATAGTGATCGAGGCTGTCCCGCAGCGTACAGGCGGCTTCGTATTTGGATTTCGGTTCTTTAACAGCAAGAGATCATTAGCAGGCACGTTCGACGCCACTAAATGCGCGCACTGGATCGGCTTGCAGCTTTGTGGAGAGCTCGCTGGGCGAGAGACAGATACTCACCAGTTTCCTGAACAGTCAATTTCTTGACTATCTCCTCAAGCTGCACTGCCGACATGACGACGGCTCCTGCACTCGTGCAGCACTCCTCAGGGATATGTTCATGCCAGTTTCCAGGTAGCCCAGTTCATTGGCCGTTTCGGGTCTGTAACACGGTTGGGACAGCGACAGAGATAGAGGATCGGTGGTGGTGGTGGTGGTGATGTGGTGGTTGTGAAAGTTCGCGATGCGCAAAAGCGTAGATACTCGACGGGTTGGTTAGTGTACACTAGATGCGATGGTTACGATGCTAGCAAGACTTGGATGGCTCGGATGTAGACGTATGCAGGAGTCGCAGTAGAATTAGATGAAGAAGAAGAAGGATCTAGTTGAATGAAGAGGGTATCACGAAAAGAAGGAGAAGGCTGCGATCAAGGTCATGACAAAATGGTGGAAGACGCCTTGGTAGGTAGGCGTGTGTAGGCAGGTAACTGCTTGCTACTGCTATAAAATGCGATGGCCAAAAAGCTCAATTGTAAGTTGGAGACCCGAGACCTCAAGTCTTGGGGGGGTGCAGCTGCCAGTATGTACATATACAACGCTAGGCCTCACGTTTCACCGTTCCATACGGAGCGCTCATTGGCCACAGCCACGCTAGCGTGCTTGCTCCCTGTCCCGCACCCTGTCCCATTCACCGTCCGCAGGTACGTACCTCGTGAAACCTCGCCGCGATCTGGCTATCGATTGGCGACGCGTTGATAAGATAAACCCCAACGTGGCGCCGGGTTGACGTCGCCAAGGTTCAACCTGGAAGTGCTATTGTGTATGGCGGGGGAGCCTGCAATACATAGTATGCCAAAGACATTGGACATTGAGCTGAGAGCGGAGTGCCATTGGATACCTACCGTGGATACCTTATCTAAATGCTTCTCTGCATAGTGGCTTCTAAATAGATAATGATAGATAATGGATAATGTAGTGTCTCGCTCCTCAAAGAACTTGGAACGTATTAGGTAGAATTACATCAACACAATGCGTACCTCATAATAGTAGAGTTCGGTTTCCTCTCAAATTATATGTATAAGTACGCTTGCCCGACTGCAGTATATGATCGCATAAGCAAAGGCAAGCTCTACCGACGATTGCCACCCCTGTTCAGCGCTAGATGGTAGATCAAGAAGAAAACGAAATATAGGCAAATATACAAGCCTTGTAGCGGACATAGTCATCCTATCATGGGGAGCTCAACCGATAAAACACACGCCGCCTTCTTCTATGGTAAGCTTCACGGGCTAGATGACTTGGAACCTTGGCGAGGGCCACTGACTGATCTTCTCAGGCACACTCGTAAGAGAAGTCCCTATCACGTCTATCATGAGGGTTTCCGTTGATAAGCTCCCAGATGGCACCTGAGGTCTTCTTTACAGTGTGCTATAGGTCTTCCACGGTTGATATTGCCATATTGAAGAGCCTACATCAGTTCCAGCCAGCTATCCTTCATGGACACTGCCGCCGGTGGGTCCTTCGTAACTATAGTGTGCCCTCCCTCGAGCTACTGCTACACGCCTCGATTGCCCTATTGAGAGGCTGTATTCTGTTATGGTGGCTGGCTATCGCAGTACTGACCCTATTATGACAGTCGAGTCACATTTGCAGACTATCCAGGCGTGATACCAGACCCCGACCATGAAGTTCGAGGGATGTACGTAACTGGCCTAACCGATGCCAATATGTATCATCTAGACCTATTTGAGGGTTCTGAGTATGACCGGAAGACTGTCAAAGCACGGCTGTTGACCACAATCGGCGATGACAAGGGGAATGGGAATGTAGAAGGCGAAGAAGTCAAGTGCGAGATTTACATTTTCAACGACCCCGCCAGCTTAGAAGACCGCGAGTGGGATTTCGAAGAGTTCCGTACCCAAAAGATGAAGAAATGGACAAGGGAAGACTACGGTTTTGACGGCAGCGATCATTTCGCGCCGCAGACTGTCGACAGTGATGAAAAGACAGCAGCTATCTGTGAGTGAGGCTACCCGATATACATATATATCGCTTTCTTATTGTACATACCTGCCTAACATTGCTGAGTAGGAGACACCAAGTTAGATTATAGGATGGTTAGAGGGCCATGTACCCAGGACTTCACTGAGACCGCGCAACGAGGGGCTGTTTCTCATATCGATTTATTTAGTGTCTGTGATCCCGCAGAGATATATTCTTTGAAGAAGTGGTTATTCATGCCTTTGTAATTGGACGAGCCGGATAAATCAACAGAAGCTAGAAATGCTGTCTTATTCAAGAACCTAGCTAGTCTAAAATATCACCATGGGCTATTAACTCAAACCCTCGGAAAATTAGCTGAATCTAGGGCCTCAATACATCGCTGTGAGCGACTTGGACATAGCGATTCGGTCTAAGATGGTGCAGTCTACCAAGGATTCATGCATGGCTCTGCCTTGGATGAAGTAGTCATCTATCTCAAGCCATAGTCTGATATCCCTAGATGGCCAGACCGATAGAATAGCTTGAATTCTGGCTACGGCTAGGAAAGCCGCGGTGTCATGAAACCACAAGTGCTACTGATGTTTCTCCGGTCAATCCAGACCCAAGAATCCGCACAGCACATAGAGTGAGTGTCGCAACGGCCACCTTACCGGCTCATAGACATTATCAGATGGCATATGATTTGCATATGATTTTCATATGATCTTACCCATGTTTAAAAGCTACAGACCAACCGGATGACAATTCGCTGTGTGCGTCCGGCGCTCACACTGATGCCGCAATAATGCTGCGTTTCTGTTTCAATCATACATGAAACATCCATGATATTAGTGTCCTGAGTGTACGCGGACATAGAGTATATGACGAACACGATTGGAGCATATGTAATTGCACCGAAACAGCTGCTGTTAGCCTGCGGAATGTGACAGGAAGGAACATCATGTGAGGCGGGTCTCCGCCAGGCCGCCGATGAGTGGCCTATATGGAGGTACCACCCGGGATAATATAGTTGATTTCTTACACTTGATAATTCCACAGCTGAGAGCGTCGGTAAATGAGCAATAAGGCGCCTTCAGTCAAGTGCCAAAGTTATCGTGTTATCATGTTATCGTTACGGATTATGGGTTGATAACTAGGTGGGTAGGTGAGTGACTGAGGATGGCTAAGAGCGCTCACCGAGGCCAACTGTACGGAGATAGGTTAGGAAACGACTGGTTAGGTATGTAACAACTACGCCCTCCCAGCCGCCGTGGCTTGTAAATGGCCACGGTCAATTACCTGGTAGCAAACCGCATTCGCTTAGCTTATGAGTACGCTGCAAAAGCTTCAAGGTCCGTGAGGCGAGATGAATACATACATAGTAAGTAAGTAGTAGAATCATATTCTCTGGTGGATCCGAATATTCTGTTTCATCAGGTCATAGCCACGTAGGCGAATTCGCCACATGCATCGTCGTCAGCAAATTCTTTCATGACCGGTTCGAGTTGATTCTAGAATGTGTGTCATGATGTTAAGGAAACATGCTATGAGCCGTATACACGGTAGAGTCGAGTCAAACATGCTGCCGTCAACCGTTTAGACAATTCCATGACGAAAATTGTCAGTCATGAGCAGCACCAACAACTCGGGCAAGCAGCAAACGGGAATAAGGGATTTGACAAGAGATGAGGAGCGTGTGAGTGGCTACCACGGGCCATGGTGTCTACCTCATTTAATCGCGACTTGTCACGCACATGACTGCTACGACTCAAGATGCATGCTACAGTCTGCTACAGAGTCATGGCACGGGGTGGAAGGGCTAAAGTCTAAAAGCTGGGGAAACGCAGCAGCGAAATCCACACAGGAAACGGACGGGATCAGATGATTGATTGATTGATTGATTGATTGCGTGAACTAGGTAGGTGGGAAGAGAGTCAGTACATACTTACGAACATCGGATGGAGTTAAGGGTTAATAGGTCAATCCATCAGCTATCCTGGGATGAAGGATATGCCCTTGTTCGTATAAGCTTTCGGAGATCGGCCGACAAGCATTTTCGAGCTGTTCAGAGCTGTTCAAGTTCTCGTGTCTCCCGTGTCTCCCCCTGACTAAACTATAACCACCTACCTACCTAGGTACACATACTATAGGTAGTAACTGCAGGCATTGGTATTATCGATCAGTTATAATAGTACTATAGCATGTGAGTCCTTGTTCTACCTAGGTACTATGATTCACATGTGCTACATTAGGTAGTGCATGTACTAGGTATTCTATTATGTATGGTTATGTATGGTCTGTAATGACTAAGGCAGAAGAAGACGAAGGCTAGGGCAGCTACCTAGGGGAAGATCCAGGGACACTAACAGTTTGAAACGAAGGCTGTTTCATAATCAGCTGGGGTACATACTCATTAAGTACTTAGAGATGGGGAGCTGTGATTTGGTCGGTTGGCTTTCTCTCCACTGAAGTCGACGGTAAAAAGAGGGCAACCGACACATGTTAGTGCCAATAGAATGGTGATGCTAAGGGAAACTTTAGGTACCCACTTACCTATGTATTTTATTACCTACCTAGAGGGAGAAGCACTAGGTATGGGAAGTCTCACTGTCGACTGTCTCAACTTGTGTGTACTAAGGTACATATGTAGGTACTGTATGTTAGGGGCATTCACTTAGGTCATCTCAGCCATCTAGTGCGCTGTGCTGTCTGCTGTCTGCCCCGGCTGCCACGCTACACACAGGCGGGCTTGCACTAGGTAAGTACTTACTTAAGTAAACTCACCAAAGTTTTTTGCTCTGATGTCAGCTATACAGGGGGGCGAGAGGGGCAGATAGGGGGGTATGCAGCCACTAAAAGCGTCGATAGGCGGAGATCGCCAGCGCGAACTCCACGAGACGATGGACTGATCCCTGCTCTATCCAGCCTCTAGGCGCCGTGAGTGGTTGGAGTTTGCTGACACTAAGCGGCTCCCAAGAGACTTCGCTTCTGGCTTTTCGCCTATGAGCGCATGGCATTCTCCCGCAACTCAAGGGCGCTGCACCCTTCATAGGCTGTGAAGAGTCTGCACCCTAAACGTCCAACGGCCTCTCGACAGCCTCTCGACAGCCTCTGAACAGCCCAGGGCCCAACCCCTATTCTGCTCGTCTGAGGATCTGCCTAAGATTCTGATCTGACCAAGATGCGCAGGCCGTCAAGAGTTGACGAGATGGTAAAGGATACGCACGATCATCAGCCAGCTCTTGGCTCCCTAACCGCCATTTAGCGAGGCAGGGGCTGGCTTGGGTTTTGGTTGCATTTGATCTCTTCAGTATGTCTGCAGTTTGCAGACTCCTGATAGGGCACTGCACGAAACACAATGCAATGCAACCGACTTCGTGAAAGTCGCCGACCCTGACTTGCCATCACCGCCGCTCGGCAGATCTGTTCGTGACGATCTGTGAGCCCAGAATGTGCGAAGGGAATATTGCGTACGCGACCGCAATGTATTGTAGATTGAGGGCCGGGGTTCCTGGGTTTCGGGAGGCCTACCTATCGCACAGAGTCAAAAGCCACCCTGGTTTCCTAATCCGGAAATCTCCATGCCTTGGAGAGAAAAATATCCGATATATGTGACCTGATTACGTGCGAATTATAGACTGGGAGGTCGAATCGCATACGAGCCTTGGCTCGACCCGAGGCTTTCTTCTGCCATGTCTCTCCAATGGATCTAGCGCTGAGTAGTGTATGAGTCTTTTCTTTCCCCTTGGTTCTTTCTCTGTCTCTAGTGGGATGATGATAAGTCGGTGGTTGGAATATGGCACCGCACCACTTAGTAACAACCTCTGTTGGTGGGGTCTGAATGGTCTGAATTTTGAGTCTGAGTCGTTGTAAACTGGACAACTTTCTTAGGTAGGAATCAGATACATACAAGACAATGCGGTCTGGCCAGGGAACCACTCACACAATTCGTTTGCCCCCCTTGAATTTTTGTTTCTGTTCAGATTCCCTCGTCTCCGTCGGTTTCCTGTCGAGCCTGTCAGGGATCACCCAGACTAGGCGGACTAAAGTCAGTGGCCATAATGTGGAGGGTCCCTATCCGGCCACACGCCACACACATATTTCGAAAAGAAACGTTAGGTGAGCCTATCAATTCGTTCCCATGCGATTCTCCCCGGCTCTTGCCCCCGCCGGCCACGTCCCGCTCACGCCCGCCCATCAGCCACCGGGCCATCCATGAAACTACTCGCACCACAATGGCCCGGGGCTGAACGCGAATCGCTCTACCGTCCCCGCTAAGATGCTAAAATATGCTAAAATATGCTGAGATGTGTGTCTCCCTATGATCTGCATCCAGCTGCAAGGTCCCCTGTGGATCTTGTCTGTCACTGCTCCGGGAGGGCGCCATGTTCGACTACGTCCAATCATCGACGGGAAGAGTCTTGTTCCTGCAGCACTTAGTCGTGTTTGCTCCATTACCAGTCGACATGACTAGCTTCTGCCGGCTAGACCTGTGCAGACCTGTGCAGACGACCAGTGCTTTCCACCCGTCCAGTTCTCCTGCCCTTGGCTCTATATAAGACCTTGGGTCGCCCTCGCTTTCAGATTGTTTGTTTCCTCATCAACCCATACAGCAGTCTCAACGACAAGTCTTTGCGACAGTCCTTCATTTTCATAGGCTAGGCCTTGAATTTCTTTATCCAACTCGCCTGGAGCAACCTTCCTTTTTGAGTCGAGCTCAAGAAAACTTCCCGTGACAAACCTTCCTGTCCTCGCTTAGTACTTTGTTGCCTTGAAAAAACAACAAAGCCTTCGATAGGTTCGTGATCTTTTTGCTTGCTTTACTCTTCCCCTCATCTTCTTTGTTGTGCTGTCTTCGAAGGGCTTGTTCGAGTTACTACCGAGCCACCTGGGTCGATATAAGTCGAGCCCCTTCGGGACCTCTCAGCCGACTGCCGCCCTTTGTAAACTCCAGCAAAGAACAATTCGCCTCCCAGTATATAAGTGAGCGCCCAGCTGACAAAATCCAAAGTGAATCAGGATTCTTTGCCCGATTACTCTGCTACACAGCACACCAACTACTTCATTTCTTGACTAGAGATTCAAATCGTCTGGAACGAGTTATCTCAATCATTCAAAATGTTTTTCGCAAAGACTACCATTTCTGCCGCCATCTTGGCCGCCGTCAACGGTCACATGATCATGACGAGCCCCTCCCCCTTTGACCCTGAGAAACTGAACAACAGTCCTCTTGACGCCAGCGGATCAGATTTCCCCTGCAAGTTCAATGACGTCTACACCGCTACTGGTGGCACCGTCAACACCTACGAGCTTGGTTCTTCTCAGCAGCTTGCCTTCAAGGGCTCGGCTGTACATGGTGGTGGCTCTTGCCAGGTTGTCATGACCTATGACAACCCGCCTACCAAGGATTCCGTGTGGAAGGTCATCCACTCTATCGAGGGTGGTTGCCCTGCCAAGGGTGTGGCAGGAAATCTGCCCGAGAATCCTAATGGTGACGGCGCTGGCAAGTACACTTTCCAAGTGCCCTCCGATATTCCCGCTGGGAAGGGCTCGATCGGCTGGACCTGGTTCAACAGAATCGGAAACCGAGAGATGTACATGAACTGTGGGCCACTTGAACTTACTGGCTCGGGCGGCGACAAGGCCAACTTCGATGCCCTCCCCGACATGGTCGTCTTGAACATTGGCTCGCACCCTAAGACCCCCGAGGGTGTTGACTACAAGTTCATGAAGGCCGGTGCCTCGCCCGAGAACAACATTGGCCAGTACGGAGTTGCTACTTGCGACAACGATGGATGCAAGGAGGGCGACCAGGCCGGTTCGGACTCTGGCTCTGACACTCCTGCTTCATCTAGCCCCGCCGCTTCTCCTACCAGCACTCCCGCAGGCGGTAACGGTGGCGGTGTCTTCTTGACAACCGGCCCTGACACCCCCACTAGCACCCCCGTCGCCACAACGACTGCTGCTGCTGCTACCACGACGACCGCTGCTGCCTCTGCCTCTGCTACACCCACTGCTAACCCCGGCTCCGGCTCCGGCTCAAGCTCCGGCTCAGCTGGCTCAGCCTGCTCAACCGAGGGAATGTGGAACTGCATTGACGGATCAAAATACCAGCAGTGCGCCTCTGGCCAGTGGTCCGCAGTGATGCCCATGGCCGCTGGTACCAAGTGCACACCTGGCCAGAGCATGGATTTGGGTATGATCGCCGCCGGACGGCGTGTTCGTGCCTTCCGTGCTTAAGCTTTGAGTAAAAGCACTTCCCCACAGCCTTTCATGAAAATTAAAACTTTCTCGGGACGTTTAGAGAATTTCTTGTATCATATCTTTCAGTTTCACGGATTAGGGAGGGTTTGGTTGGGGCTTTAGCATTTTCGGCGTTGTTGTTGAGATACACATTTGACTGCTTATGAGACCCGAGCGCGAAACCCAATCTCGCTCTCGTATATTTCGCCACGTTCTTTTAGACAAAAAAAAAATCAATTTGTTGGATTCACATCCACCATAAAAAAAATCATACCTCTTTGCACATGTGACTTAATTCAATCAAGTAGGATTTCTGTCATTAACTGTTAATCGAACGTAACTTGTTTATTACGATGCACTACCAGTGCTGCCACGGATCATTAAGCTGCTAGCTTAGCATCAACTTAACAGAACGACATCCTATGTACCCTTTCAAGATTGCTCAGTCCAGTTATCCCTTTTAACTTTTTAGCCAAGCAATGTATATCCAACTCACTGTAAACTAGAAATCAAGGGGGAAAAGAAAACAGAAATGCTGTACTATGCAGGAGGGAGTAGTTAACCGATCGTCAAATCCCGATAAAGGAGCTCATAAGACCAAAAGGGTAGTTCCCATCGCAAATCTTCACAACGCCCTCCATCAATACTTGCCATCTGCCAACTCAATCCAGGAGTCAGCGTCACATTATGAAACGAGTGAGGTAGTACTCAACATGCATGCATGCATTTATTTGCTCTACAATGAAGTAGACGTATGTGTGTCCCCAAGCTCTATGACTAGTCGCTAAAAGTGGGTATATATAAATGAATATTGACGATTAAGATACACAGGAGCACTGCCGATAGATGTTTTGACCAATGTTTTTTTCATTCAATGCTGCCGTCCCACTTTCAAGCCTTTGAATCCCAACCGGCCGAAACCACCAGCCGGACAAACGGGAAACGCGATAATGCAATGCCGTTGGTTCATTAGTAGATTACATATGTAATTCATTAGGGTCAATGAAGGCGGGGGGGGGGGGGGGGCCCGCGCGCGGCCGCCCCCCGCCCCCCCCCCCCCCCCCCGGGGCCCCGCCCCCCCGC